GGGGGGGGGGGGGGTCAAGGAATGTGTTGGCTCAGAAAATGGCACAGCAGATGTGACCGTTTGCCCCCTTCACTATTGAAAAGAGGCCAAAACTGATGAAAGGCGTTTTACAAACCTGAACATATTCCAGTTAAAGTCGATGGTAAACATTATGTAATGTTAGAAATGCTGCTCAGAGACGACTCTCTGTTCCATCAGCAAAAGTCAGCCTGTGTTTGCTTGTATGCATCCTGCTCAGGCGAGTTAGAGAAGATTAACCCCACCCTGGTTATGTAATAGCCTCAACATTTTTATCCTCTCAGTTCTGGCGCTAAACAGCAGCTACGCAGGAAGGAGGTTACACAGCTCAGGAGTAGGCACCACTTCTACAATGGTTAAAGGCTAAACCGAGGGGAACATAAAGGGCTGGGTCATCATTTTAACAAGTCAGCAAGCGTAACTTTCTCTAGTCCTTAGTGGCAATGGTAAGCTGGCTCCTCCAGCAGTAAGGCAATCCAATTAACAAAGGAGAATTTGTCCTTCGCGTTACCAGGCAACATCGAAAGCACAGATCTGCACAAATGAGATGCGATGGAGCTGTAGCTCTGGTCTCTATTCATGGAGGCTGACAAGGAGCCACTGTGAGGCTGCCTGCTAGGTCAACATGATAGGGCCACGTACAAATCCAGACCACACAACCAGCACTCGTTAACTAACCCCGGGGAAGTGCGATATCCAGGAAACTACTTCCGTAAATAAAACGGTGACTCATAAACTCTGAGAATATATTTGTTGAAGAGTCTAAAGGCCTGAGGAAGTCAAAAGGCACAGCTCGTTCTGTGTCAAAATTACCTGTGGTGTCAGAGAGGGTATTAAGAGGGTCCGGGACAGTCAACAACGCTGGACCTGCACTGATGATGTCTGCAGATCTTTCAGCTTAACGTTATACACAGTGAATAAAGATGGAGAAGAACAAATGAAGGGAATTTGAGAGCATGTACAGCAGAGAAGAGAGGGGGCTGGACTAGAGGATAGACAAGACATGAGAACTCTAGACCAAGACAGCGACACAAAGAGGTCACAATACAGTAAAATGGTTGAATTCCACCTCTACCAATAGAACATTGTTGCATGACTCCTAGGAGATGTAGTATGCAAAGCCATGGGACAGCATCGTGATAAGAACTAGGCAAAGACTTACCTGGAAAAGCAATGAGCCCTGGAATGAGATTTTCAGTGGAACCCGTGACCTTCTCTCCTGGTGCAGCGGCTGTGCACAAGCAAACAGCAAAGTTGTTCATTTTAGATCACTCAACTATCTACCAATGCTGCAGGTGTTGAGTATGAAGCAATGAAGTTGCACTTACTCTCAGCTAGCTTTGCAAAGTCTTTGTTCAGGAGCTCCTCTGCGGTCAGTTTGGAGAAGTTATCATCCCCAAAGGGGTTCCAGCTTGGAGTGTTTGGAGTGTTGGGTGCAGCAACAGCTGATACGGCATCAACATCACCTGGATGATACACAGTCTGCTGGGACGAGCAGGGGGAGCCAGATGGAGTCGTGCTGGCTGATCTGTGTAAACATAAACATGGTTAGGAGTGCTCAGTGAAACGTGATCATGGGTGTTGGGTCTGTGGACACTGGCCTACTGATGTATGTATATAAGACGGAGCGAGTCAAGTTATTTAAAGACTGAATCGAGCGATTCTTCTTAAGCTGGATTCTCTGGGATGTAAAAGGCTTGTTTATCCTCCTTCGGGGTTCTGTCATATGAATGGACCGTCTATTGCCCTTCTCAGCTCACTCAGTGCCACGAGAGGACAGTTCATCCTCACTGAAGGGAGTTAATTCTGCTCACTTGGACTTGTTGAGGCTCGCCTCAGCCGCGGCTGCCTGGAGAAGCTGGGTGGACTTGCTGACTGGGACCCCGAACACGGCACTGTGAGTGACATCGCTCAGTATGCGTCGGTGACCGCTTTTAGGGGCCATCTTTGGCGACGAGGGGGGTGTCAATGAGCCGACTCTGTTAATCACTCGACCAGCCGTCTACGAGGAAAAGAAAAAGATACAGAAGAGGAAATATGAGATGAAAATGTGCTTGATGCCAACAGAGAACATTTCAGTTCCACAAACAGATCCCCGAACATACACCAAGCAAGCAAGATCCACTAGAAATGAAAATCTGGAAAAAAAAGATGGATTACAAATTCCCCGAAAACCACAACAATGAGAGAGAAAATCTGTTACGGAAAAAGGGAAAGTATTCCAAGTAGAGAGATTGTACAGAAACAGAAACACCGGATGAATAGAGTGAACAGTAGGACATAGAGTCGGGTCATCAACATATGAAAAAGACAATTATGAACGTTATAAGAAGCAGTTCGGAAAGCAACACTAAATGATTTGGTTATCACGAGACTTATACTGTATTTAACTGCAGCAATGACGTCTGTCTAAGATGGCATTAAAGGAAGCATTTCTATCTACATGGCATTCACACGGTCACATTGAATATATTCTGTGAGACCATTCTTGCCTTCCTCTGCCCACGGAAGAGGAAAAGTAAGAATTTGGATGCGATTGATTGGAAACGAGCTGGTAATCAACTGCCAGACCTCAAAAGAGCAGCAGACGGAAACGGGAGTAGGATGTTACCACAACCTCTGGGTCAGCTGCAGGGCCGACTGCAGACTCGGGGATGGGGGTCAGATGAGAAGCTGCCATCTCGTGGACGGGGGCTACATGCTGCTGGTGTTGCAGGGCAATAACTGGAGGAACAGGTTTATGTTTGGACTGCAGCGCGGTACACGCCTGAGACGCTTTTTGTAGTTGTTGCTGCTGCTGGAGGAGGCTCTGTACCAGTTGATGCTACATAAGAATACCACACAGCCAAGAATGAGGAAGGCCCGGTTTGTCATGACTTACAGCTCGTTGAAGAGTGCAGCAGCCTTTTAAAAACATACTTTTAAGGATTTGTTATCTACTTTTCAGACAGTACACAACGAAGATGCAACATTAGACAGAGGGAGGGAGACAGACAGAGAGATATTTAGGTTTCTAACTTTAGTTTATCAAATCATATTTGTGTCCCTAAAAGCATAGATTCTGTCTGCAAAATACACCAGGGATGAATAGTATTGTATGCATGTAATATTTTAATGATACTGACAACTTTTAATAGAAAACATATTAAACAAGTTGCAGGACGGCTCAGGCAAAAATCAGCAAAGGTGTCACACACTGTTCATTCATGGATACTTGAATGAAAACATTAAAAATGAATTATAGTAGCTGAATATTACAGATACCATGATCGTGCAAACATGCACGCCCTCAGAACTGTGTTTGTATGTTTACGATAATGGTTCATTACTAGCTCAACACAGTAATTTGTGCCTGGTATCGCATTGTGTGTTATTGCATTGATAGTGTGAAGTGAAGCACGAGAAGCGGAACAAACTGATGTCAAAACTGTGTCTCTATTGTGGTCAATCACAGCCGAGCCAAGTATCCTCTGTTTTACAAGTGGTTCCATACACACATCAACACACAGGCCAGGAAGGACTCATGTACTCTACCTGTAAATAATGTGCATCTCAAAAACCTCTTATACTCTTTCTTTTGGTTTGAAAATTAGAATTTCTTTGTCATTGTCACACACTTTCCCTCAGTATCACTGTGTGAGATTCAAACACAAAGAAGTATTTCCATTCCCGCTCTGCCAGGATGCCTACCTGCTGGTTGCTCTGTGGGCTTAAGAAGGCTGAGGCCTGCTGCTGCTGCTGCTTCATGAGGAGCTGCTGATGCTGCGGTGTAGCCTGTGGCAGCATGTTGGCTGTCTGGGCTGGTTGCGGTGCAGCCTGTGCAGCAGGAGCCTGTTGAACAGCAGCTGCAGCTGGGACATTGATGCCAACACCTGGAAAGGAGAAACATACGAAGAATGAGGTGAACATAGACCTATCATTTATCACATCAAGAGTATCGTTTTAAAATGCACACCATCCCACATTTCTGGTGACCTGTAGAATCTGTGCAAATATCAATTGCAAAGATTCTTGTTTTCATACAATTAAAGCCCTAAATGGGCTGCCCCACTCCTTTATCGCAGACCACCTAACCCCTTATTATTCCTGCAGGTCCCTCAGGTCAGCTGACATTTGCTGTTACAACCCCTAGACTGAGGAACAGCATCTCCCTCCCCCATCAGATCTGCCCCCTCCTTTGAATCTTTTAAGTCCAGGCTCAAAACACACTTTTTACCTCTTGCATTTGACTCTTCCTAATGTGGCTGATTTGTTACTTGTGCTTATCTGTCTATTTGTGCCTATGAGCTGCGTGCATTGGTGTTTGTGTTTCTTCTTAAGTCTGTGGAGTATTTTGGTCAACATAGGCTGTTCCTAAATATGTTTTATAAATCAATTGATTGATTAAATGGTCAATTGCACAAACCGTTGACATGTAAATGAATGTAGTAATGAAAGGTGTTTTGGGTTTGTATATCTGTGTACAAGTATTTATATGATTTTAGGCCTTTTAAAATGTCAAAGGGACCCAACAATTAGAAAAATGGATGTTTCAATAGGATTTAATAATATTTAATCAAGCTGATGTTTTGGGCCTAATCTCCACTTTCATCTTAAGACAACAATAAGGGAGTACTCTATTAGAAGGTTAAACTAATGCATTTATTTAGCATGAAGATGTTTTTTTTCCCATTACAACACACAATATATTTGAAACCACAAACACGACCTCCTTTTAGACCCATCCGGTGAGTGAGTTAGAACTGCATATTAAAAAACATGACAGTGTGCTACTGTAATTAATGTGACATCACGCCACCATCTATTCTGGAAGTGGGCCACAGATGGAAAGCCTCGTCAAAGTGTGAATGTCAAAAGCCTCATAAAAAGACAATTAAAAGCCTTTTAAGAATGGGCTGCTTGAACCACTGGGAATACAAGCCCTTGATGGGCATTAGAGTCAAACTCTTGAGCAGTTCATTAAGCTGAGTTTAATACAAGATGTCCCTTTGTGTATAGGTTAACAGTTTCCATAAACGCAGGCCCCCCCATTACTTAGATAGAAGGTTCTTAACCACGACACAGAGAGGCCTCACAGAGCTACTCATACCTATTGCCTGTGGTGCTCCAGCAGCCACATTGGGTCTCTTGCGTGGGGTGAGAGCCGGCTGGATGGGAAGAATGCCCGATATCGGCTGGGGGTGAGCCTGGCCAGCCTTGGGTCGTTGGCGAGGTGCAATTGAGGTTTCCGTGGCAGGAGCGGGGTCTGTGAGCCTGATGGAAGGAAAGGAGAGGAGAGAGTTGAGTAGTAATGTAGGAGTTTCTTACAACCATGAAAAGTCAAATGTTTGGCGTTTCACTCACCTGGCTTTGGTTTGACTCTTTTTGGCCACTGCTTCACTGGCTCTGATGGGCTCGGGAAGTTTTGCAGGAATCGGTGAATTCTACAACAGTAAGAGGATTTGCACTTTTATATTTGATCGAGGATAATCAAACCAAAGAGCTTCAATCTCTCACATCAGGGAGGTATTAATACATAACATTTTGAGTCTCACAGCTACACTCTAGTAGTGATTTACAGCTTCCATGAATGCACTTTAATAATACTTAAAGGGTGAGGTAAGGAATTTGGCTGAATCAGAAGACCAATTGCTGAGCTACTTTGTGAATTCATTAGAAAGCGGAATGATGAATGGAGGGCAGCCAACTGGCAAAAGCTATAAAGTTAGCTTCCCTCCAATATCATTATCTCATAGATTACTGTCCTTAGAAAACCACTGAAACCACTGTACGTGAGAGACCTAAAACGCAAACATTATTTGGGAAATTGGGAATTGGAGATGATACAGCATCATCTCATCTCAAATCCCTGCCCTTCCTCTTGTCATGGCGACTTACATGTTCATTTGGGACTGGACACTCTCGTCGCGCCAGTTTAAAGGCAACGTGGGATATTTGGTAGATGTCCGGTCTCTTACTTGGGTCAGGTTCCAGCATGTACCCTAAGAAATCAACGAACAAAGGATGTTTATTCTGACTCAAACATATGAGAATGCACATTCAAACTCACAGTAATTGCACATATGTGTAAAGCACATGCTGCAAGTAGGGCAGTGTGCATATTCTGAGGAACAGGGTTACTCACTGATGAGACAGTGCATGTCCGGGGAGTAGCGGGAGTTGTCGGGGATAGTGAAGCTTCCGTCACAGATAGCCACTTGGCTCTCCCCAAAAGGAAGCGTGAAGTAGCACAGCTTATAGAGTAGACAACCCATGGCCTGTTGAGACAAGAGAAACACTTTTCATGTAAATGTGCATCTGTGTCTAGCATGTTAGCGCTTCACAATCATGGTGAATGATGTGATCATACAGTCATCCTAATGTGGCGTAAAGTTACGGTCATTCTCACCCAGATGTCTGCCTTTGTTGTGATAATCGTTCCACCATAGAGGTTGACCATCTCTGGAGCGCGGTACGACAGAGTAGTGTACCTGGTTTTAAGAACAGAACAATGAGCTCCTGAATTTTAATAAGAGAAAGGGTCGAAGGTGTAAAGGGCCCAGAAAACTGACTTTTTGATTTCCTCTTCCACATCTGCAACCCCCTCTGTCTGAGGGTTTTGGAAGCGGTCAGTGGCACTTCCAAAATCACAGAGCACATAGTGTCCCCGGTCATGTAGAAGAATATTTTCCACCTACATGAGAAAAACAAGATTAGACCTGTCAGAACTCATAGTACATACACACCATGTCACAATAAATCACTTCCAAATAATTAGAGTGGCCATCAATTAGCTAGCCTTATGCAGTCAGCAGTATACTGGGAAATAATTAGACTTGCCTTGAGATCTCGATGGACGATTGGAGCCTTGCCCTGGTGGAGACGAGCGACTGCCTCGCACGTGTCACAAAAGATCTGCAACACCTCGGCTTCAGTGAAGCCGGTCTGCAACCGCTGGTTCATTAGGTTAACCACCTGCCCTCCTGCATGAAGCAAATAAGTCAACTAAAACTCTATAAATTTCAGCTGATGGCAAGGTAACGTTATACAAGGTAACGGTATACCGTACAACTTTAATAAACAACAAAGTTAACTCCTTGTTACAGGGAAGCTGTGAAACAGCCAGTGGACAACAATGTGTCATCTGCTTTGATTTCAACAGTGCAACAAACTTGATAATTTAAAAATAAGAAAAAATGTTTGCACACACTGCATTACCATTGGTGCTTGCATAAAACATGTATTTGAATCTTATCCATCTTAAAGCACACTACACGCATAAGATGGCTTCAACAACTACACAGTGATGTTAATATTTGAACTTCCTATAAATAGCGCGACCACTCAGCGATGTATTGACTGAAACAGAAGTTCTATTGACCACGACAACCGCCAGTTGAATATTTGCCTTTGAACAGAACAGGATGCTGGGAAACAGAGCTTTGAACTCAGCAAAGACAGACATGGGAGGTGGGCCCGTTTACCTCGACAGAAGTCCATTAAGATTAGGACTTCCCACACATCTCCAGCTCCAACTGCAGTTATGCTGGAGTCCAGGAAACCAACTATGTTTTTGTTGCCCACTAGGTCCCTCTGTGTAAACAAACACAGAGAAAGCAACACTGATAAACCATTGCGACACATTGTTCATAGATTTAACAGTCCTAAAACATTTGGGTCAGTAAATGACAAGATACAGCCATAATTATTCAGTCTATTTTTAACAGTAGAGAGATGTTGATTCTCTGCCAAAGGTCTGGATGCAATGGTGATAAGCATCCAGCAGCAGTCATGCCACCCAGGGTGTGGCTGCAGGAACTGCTGAGTTTCACTTACAGCAAGGACTCCATTTAGGAAATAGCAAGGCAGCTTAGATTGCATTGCTTACAATCCAACCCTTGAGCGCCGCTCTGTTACTGTCACTATTCTAGGGTCAAAAAGTATTTTCAGAAACATTTAGTGTGTTTCCTGGATAAAGAACTTGAAGTATTCAGGGTTAGTCACATTCAGACCATGAGGGTCAGAAAATCAAAACAAGTATTTGAATGTCAACTCTGTATTTCTTTGTGTGTAACGTTTAACAACACAAGCCGCTCTTACATGACCGTCTCCTGTAAGTGTCAAAAAGAAGATGTGTGTAATGTGCTTGCTACCTTCAGCAGTCAGTTACTGGACTGTTTAACTTACCATTATCTGTATCTCAAGTTGGCAGACTTGTAAATCATGTTCATTGTTGACATACATCCTTTTTAGTGCACAACGTACGCCTTGATGAGTCCGTACCAAAAAAACTATGGCAAAGCCTCCTGCAAATGATTGGAGAAACAGAGAAGGAGAAAGGGAATAAACACACACATATTTCATTCCAGTACAATCTAAACAAACGGTAATCCAGAATTAGTAAAAGATATCCTGTTCTATTGCTTTTTAAATGTAGGGGCAGCAATGCCTTACACGGTGGGTTCAACAACATAAAAGATATCGAGTGATGTTAAAAACTGGTTAATTTAACTTTTCACTACAGTCACCGTCAGCTGCAGATATTCTGTAGTTCTCCACCAGTGTACCCAAGAAATACTCCTGTACAAGTATTGTATGTCAGTGACTCTGTCAGCAAGTATCTTTTCTGAGAATACAGGAAGTGAGAGAATGTGTGTCACCCCACCTTTGGTTGCAGTAATAGTGACATATGGGGGAAACCACGAGATTGCTGTATCCATCTACAGCAACTCAAACCAGCAGCAACCACACAGCTGAATAAAACATGTTTCTTTCAACAGATACGCATACATATACCCGAGTCAAGTCAAAGTACGATAGCATTTACACATGAAGCTTATACCTCATGTTATTATCCAAGTAGACCTGCACTGCATTGGAATGTGGACCGTGGGATAGTCTATTGTCTTCACTGACTTCTAGATATGAACTTGCTTCAGCTTGCATTCAGCCTCCCTCTCTAAATGTTGTGTTGACACAGCATGTAGCAGCTTTCACTGTAAAGGCTGCTGTTACTGCAGCTCTTCTGTTCACAGCTTGTGTTAATGCTGTGCACTGGGCTGACTCATTCAGCTCGCATCACTAAGCTAAGGGCAACTCCATGCGACTGGTCTGGGCAACATTTGAGCGGGCGTGCCTTAGGCAACGTCACTGTGAGCCGTATCTTTAAAGAAATGAATTAAGTACAAATGGTACAATAAACACAATAACCCTCCCTACCATGACAGGGCGGAGCTGGGTCACCATGGATGATAATAACAGACTTTTACTTATGTCATCAGGAATTTTCACAATGAAATGCAAAACTGTGCGACACAGAGCTGCACCAACAGAAGTGATAGTGTCGGAGCACTAGGCTGAGTAATTAGTGTCATTAAGACACAGAGTAGCACTGCGCTTGGAAATGGGTTACGGTGAGGAGGACAATATCAAACGAGTACCTATCCTGAAGGAAGCGCACTCCATGAGCACATGAAACACAGGCTTTAAGTGTGCGTGTGTGTGTGTGAGACAGAGTACAGATAGTTGAATCTCGCTGTCCTGTGCAGTCTAATCTGTGATGACTGACTGTAGGAAGTTAGAAGGATTAGCAGCCTTCTTTAGCAACATGTTTAGCAGCGGTCTACAATCTGAGAAGGCAGTGTGAGCGAATGATTGTAAGTATAGCTGCAAATAGGCCACTGTCTCTTGACGTAACGGACCGTCAGGATTATACCAAAAATACGCCTTTAGGCACTGCAGTGAAAAACACAGCAAACTAATGTTCAGTCGCAATTTGTCATTAGTTTGTAGTGGAATTTAAATACCGTCTAGATTTAAGACTACTAGACATGTCCTCACGACTATGATTTACAAACATGCTCGCTGCAAGGTTACGTGAAACTGCAATGACAGCAAGAAATAATAGCAGCAGTCTCATCTGCTTGAGACAAAATGAGCAGAAAACTGGATGCTTTTGGTTTACGAATGAGGGAATGGCTCACTGAAGCTGTTGTGTAGTCTAATAGCAGGAACTGGGACACATTCTCATGATACAATGCATTATGTTACATCTCCAGAACAGGGCTAATGTTAGAAGCAATAAGTCTATATAGACACAAGAAAACACATCTTGTTGATAGTAAAGACAGAAAGCTGTGTCTCTGAAAATCCTCAGATGACAGGTTGAGAACAAATCAGACTTCTGCCCGAAGCCCAAATGTCTAAAATATCAACCGCAACAATGACACGATCCCAAACGAACCTTTCGGCCTGAAGCTACAACAGCCAGTGTGTCCCTCTGACTGCTTTTGTCTGTATATTGTGAAAAGTGTTTCAGCTAAAGGCAACAAAGTTCCACAATGACAACAAAGGGAGTAGACAGAGAAAATAAAAACACATTTTCCAAATGGAGCAGCCATCTAATAGCACAGACTACAACCAGCCATCTGAATAAACAGGCCTAGTGACACTGGGGGCGGGGGGGTGGGGGGGGGGGGGTCACATTGCAAGCAGTAGGTCCACTGCCAGAGCAAGAAAAATATGATACGCGGAAAAACATTCCAACTAACATTTTGTGAAAGAGTCATAATTCTGGGGAATATATTAACTTTAACTGACTACCCAATATACCGTTTATGAGTCCTAACAATAGTCCGAATGGTGCCTCTCTCTCAAATAAATGTTTGCAACAAGGCCAAAGCTTTTTACGGAGCTGATAAGAAAACCAACTCACACTCGCAGGATAAACAAATTCCAAGAAAGGTTTCCTCTGACACCTCAGTGCAGGGTAGGACTGCAGTTAGCCGTCTAACCCCTTCACAAGGCCACGATGTGGTCAAACAGATGGGGGCCCATCTATAGTACTGATGAATTAATCAGTCTACTTTCATCTATTATTTAATAACCGGAGCTCTTAGCTAACAGAGCATGGCGGCAGACTGTTATTGCAAAGACAAACGACCATGGGAAACCTGTTAGCCCCATCAAGAAGCCTGGTGTTCAGGTTAAGACCAGTTTCTAACAAAACATGTCTCACCCTTTCACTCAATGATTTAGATTCACCTACAGCTGAGCAGCCTGCAAGATTGTGTGAACATAGATACGTGCAGGCCCAAGGAAATGCGTTATGAAAGTACCACCTAGTCAGGGGGTCATGTTTTATGTGGCTGCACATCCTGATAACCTTTCCCTCCTTCTAAACCTTTGACATCTACATTTGTGATCCGTCACTCCCTATGTAAATATCGAGACTGATGACTCAGCATGGCATCAGTCCTTTACAACACAGGAGAAAATCCAGTTATGAAATGTTCCTCCAACCTCCAGGTAAAAAAAGAGTGCAGTCAGGCAAAGAAAAGACAATATGAACAACCGACAATTGTACACACACTCTCTCACACGTTTTAACTTTCATCTTTAAAATCTTACACATTAGACAATAAGCTCAGGCCACATAAGAAAAAAAAGGTGATTGGAGCAAAGCTGCTTGGCAAGTAAATGAACATCAAAAGAGCTGCCTTGGGTGGTGACAATCGACACAGTAACTGTTAAAAGCCTTGTAGCATAAGCATCAGCATTAAGGGGGTACTACCTTGGCACTCTCGCTAGGCCATACCCCAATAAAAACAGGGCCACTTATGTATTTAACTAATGTTACTAGACTGTCCATCCTCACTACAGTGTACAGGTCAGATTGTGGATCTTAAACGTATTTGTGTTACGTGTGTAATCCACACAACACAAGGCCACATAGTTCACCTTCGGCGACGGTTTCCTCGATGGTCACTTGATATCGTCCGATGGTGAAGACCCGTCCGATGAAGGTGCCACCGCCGCCGGAACCAGCGCCTCCTCCGCCGGCTCCGGGTCCAGGCCCAGAACTCACCAACTCACGACGAGAATCAAAGAATTTCTTCATCTCCTCTCCCCGGTGTTATCCAAAGCACGGTCAAGTCCAAAATGTATAAGTAATAACACTCGCGGATGGATACAACCAGTCCCCGTTCGGTCGTTGAGGTGCTGGTGTTAAGGCTTTAGCAGCTTTTTAAATAATTGAATGAATGCAGTCAGCTAGCGTCAAGCTAACTGCTAGCTAACTAGCTGGACCTCAAAATATTCCACCCACTGCGGTCCGACGCTCCTTGGCTAACTCATGGTTTGAACAGCAGGAAGAGTCCAATATTGTTGAGAAAATAATAAGATGTAACGTTCATGCGGAGGTCGCCGCTATCCACTCTGAACTGACAGCAGCGCTGGCTAATGTAGCCAGGCAATGAGCCCGAAGAAACACTGGTTAGCCGTTAGCTAAGCAGCTAGGTGCGGTGGCAGCTGTCAGTTGATAGGCTGGCAGCCAGGTAGCTCCTTAGTGTCCAATGCAGCTTATTACACATCTCCACCGATATCATTCAACCGAAATGTTACTTTGTTCACATGCTGCTTTACTCGTCTGTATTGTAGTAAAAGTGACAGATCTCCAGCAGGCTGTATGAAGGCTGGTCTACTACCTTAATGAGCTAACGCTACAAACAGAGTGTATGCTAATAGGGAGAGTCCTCTCTGCGGAATCAGTGCTGCTGGACCTCTCTTGATGTGATTGGTCAGATGGACAACGACTTCCTGTCAGTCGACACTAGTCTCTAGTCCTTTGGTTCTGGTCCCCAATATAAAGCAAACAAAAGGGCCCTCCTTTAAAAGTAACAACTCGACCCGCTCAGTGCTGCTCGGATCAGCTATTATCCCAAAGCTGCCATGAGAGCCGCAGGAATAATAAGCATATTTTAGCAGTGCAATAGTTTTAAAAGCTAAGAATGTTTGTTTTTTTAAGTTTTTTACACGATGTCACCTATGTTCAAATTTGTATTGAGTGTTTAAAAATGTAATAATTGAATCTGCTCAATATGACCATAAATGCAGGCCCTTATAGAAATAAAAAACACAAAGGGCTTATGTTCCGCCATTTACATTTCCTCAGGTCTCTGCATTGGAAATAATACTATGCTATTGTCACGTGTCAAAAACTAAAACGAAGTACAACAAATTACAAGAAGACAGAAGGTGAGATCCTCCACGGTTATCGTTGGGAGAACTTTGTCATGCTGAACCTTATTTACAGGGATATATCTGAGAGGGAGCGGGAGATGGGTGGATGAATGATGCGGCTGAACACTGGATAATGTTATACTGGCAAAATAAATATTGTCCACCTGGAAATTTGTCTTCAGAATATCTGGATTGATCTTTAATCTACATAATACTGTTGTCGTATAGCTTATCAAAGATAATGTCATATTTGGAGGATAGGGTGTTTATGTCAACAGGAAATAACTAAAGTCTTGCAGCTGTGTCATGTAAACTTTTCAGAATGTTACATGTATCAGGAATTACATTTATGAAAAATAGAAAAACAGCATCCTGCTGATCCCCATTGTCTGTGGTGGAAAGTGATGATTACAGTGAACAGATGCTAATCATGTTGCCTTTTATAGCAAATATGAGTTCAGAACCTTTTGTGGCGGTCTGCAAAACAAAATGAACAGATAATCCACAATGTGTCGTGGGATTTATTGACAATATCAATAAAATATATCTGATCTGAAACCAAGAAGATCTGTATTTAAAGATGCACTGCATTGTGAGGTGCTTTGTTTTCTTCTGTCTTACTGTTTCTTTCCATTTTTATTTTCCTCTCATAGATGGGAAAACGGTTAAATAAATCCTTTCCTTCTTACCTATATTAAGTCAAACCTGATATCATTATTTGCAATCTTGCAGCAACCCCATTTGAATGAGACATGAATTTTTAGTCAAAGGAATCCCATTTGGCTTTGATTATTATTATCACACAATAAACACCATGAGTAGAAGAAAACCACTATTACACAACAACTCAGCACAGGCTGTGTCAACCATATCGGCCGCCCTTGAATATTTATAGTAATTCAAGTGAACAGAGATATCAAGAATATTCGAACCAACTATAGACATCAAAGTGTCAAAGATGACAATCTGGCCAGCAACATTCAAAAACTCATCTGTAGTGCATAAACATCTCTCCATATACTGTATCTACAGTTTTTCCAGTCATTTGCAGGCCTGTTTCACCACCGACTCTGTTGGTCTTCCATTCTTTTAATAAAAACATAGCAAATAAAAGAATATAACTTATTTTCAGATGTCATGCAAGCCTGGTTCCAACTTGAAGGTTGAGTACTTTGAGTTAGAATAAAAACCCAACCTCTGTCTTGAATTTGTTGTTACATTCACAGTTTAAATGACCAAATTTACACAATTTCTGAGTGAGTTTCCTGATGAGAAGCCGTGGTTAGCTGCAGACTATATGACAGTGTGAGAACTTCTCCTGCAGGGGTCACTGTTTCATCACTAAATATTATGATTTAGACCCTGTTTTTTTTTTTTACTTTCCACCTTTCAACTTTCCAAAGCTTAATTCAACAATAATACTACCATTATTCATTCCTTATCCTAATAGGAAAGGTTGTATTTGTCTTTGTTTGTGTTTTTGGGAAGTCATATGATGATGTGTACAAACTTCAATTAAAGACTTTTCTTGTTCCTTTGTGAATCTTTTTACTAATTGCTCAATGGGTAAAATTCCACAGGAGCCACTTTTCTTATTCATTCCCAAATTCCTGACCACCAGTGTTTGCAGCTCAGATGATTAATCAAAGAGCAAATGCATGTGTTTTACATTCCTACTGTAAGTGGTTTACATACTCAATGTATCATGGAGCTGCTTAAGAAGCATGGCTGTTGATTAATAATATGATCTCATATCCCTCTTTGACAATGTATTTATGTTTGATTATTTGTTTTCAGAGTACAGGACATTAATTCTCGAACAGCTAATGCCTTGGAGTCAATGTAGCCACACTTTTAAAAATGAACCATTAAGCTATTTGAGCTGCAGAGTTGTTAGTGCTCTAGTGATAAATGTTAATGCTCTGATGCATTCTTTCCTCTGTGTTCATCTACAATACGCTAGATCTCTGCTGACCCAAAAGCTAAAGGTAAACATACTTTGGTCTCATTTTGTGTGGTCCCCTGAGAACCAAAACATCATTACAATTGAGAGTAATGATGAGTAAGAGTCTAATGGTGCCTGTGAAACCTGAGTACAGCTGCAGTTATGTCATTAGAGAAGTTGGATCTGTCACTGTAACAAAGGTTACACTAACTGTGATATTAAACCACCTGTGTGTGTCCTTGAGGTCACATAAATACGCCTCTGAGACCTGAAATATCCAAGATTTTTAGAAATATTAAAGTGATATCCAAATATTACCAAAATCTTTCTCTTGAGTATAAAACTCTCTGTAGGCTTGAAAGGAAGTGACACAAATCTCATGAAAAGCTAGTGGACTGTGAGTTAAGATTGTTCTCTTTTGTCAAAGTTGTAAACAGTTTGCACTTCCTCATCAATTGAGACCAGTGGGCTGCTTGAATTCAGAGAAAAGTATCAAAACACACATACACAGAATAGGAAACTAGTGTCATGACCACTTGTCTTTAGTCCATCTACGCTCAGAATGTTCCAAAAATATGACCAAATACAGCTTCTATCAGAATCAGAACATGTGCAATAGTTGTGGGTGGAGTGCCCCTCATAGGCCAATAGGTTTTTTTAAAACAAATTACACCCGATTTCTAAAGAGAGGGTCCATCAGATTTCTTCCTCTGCTGGATTATTTTGGCATTCACTACTGTTTTAGAGTAGCTGAATATTAGAGTTTTGGAGTGTGTGAGACAGAGCTGGAATGTCCTCTTTCACTCCAGTGGCAGACACACTATACATCTGGATCTCATCCCCCTGTGAGGGAAAGTCAAGCATCATACCTGGTCAAGCACTCCTGACTTTCTTGAGATATTGCAATGGAGAGCTTCAAGCCTTACTTATTGTGCACATTTGTCAGGAGCGTAACTTTTTGCATAAGTATGGTCCAAACTCTGACGTTATATAGAGATTCATGAATCTGGAAGCTTAGCAGGCACATTTTGAAAGACATTTAGCTCCCTAAACTAAAGAATACTGTCATTGTGCAGTAAAGCACAACGAGAGTGCAAAGGTAAATTTGAGAGGAAGAAGATGATCACTTTCTTTTAGACCAAAGCCTGGTGCTGTCATGGTGAATATTAAGGATGCACCAATCTGACTTTTTCTGTCCCAATATTGATACCTGGGCTTTGGGTATCGGCCGATACTGAGCACCGATTCAATACCAGTGTTTAATTAATAAGTCTGTGGCTCACTATGTGGAAGTGACAGGGATCATTATTTTATGTGTGTGTAAGGCAACATCAGGCTGTAATATTAATTGAAACAAATTAAAACATAGATATAAATGTGCTGAATTGTTATTTATTAAAATAATTGTCACCTGATTCAGCTATTTGAGTTAGTATCAGACCGATATCAGCATCTGTAGTTCATATCATATATTCATGGCAGGGTCCATTTCGGTATATTCAATCTAGCATCATGGGGCCCCATATCTGTGTAAGTGTGAATACTTAACATTTTCCCAGCTTATTCTCTTTCTATTTTCCACCCATGTTGCACCGAATTCATTGTAGAAAAGTAAAAATGGGAGTAGAACAATGCAGAAAATTGAGAGCAGATTTCCTGCCAGGACAGTCAGGAAGGACAGGAGGAGACAGGTGGGGTCCTGCAGGTAAGTCAGGTGAGTGGGGGAGGACAGGAGGACAGGCAGGGGGGAGAAAGACACGAAGAACCAGCCTCCTCCACCTTTTCGTCGCTGTCACACGTCGTCTTCTTGAACATCTGTCTGAAAAAACCTGTCTCTGTCTTCTCCTTCTTTTTCATCTCCTTCTCGTGCAATTTTCTTTTCTCTAACTCGGTCCGCCTCTACTCTTCTTCTTCATTTCCAGATAGACAGGATCTTCTTCTCGTCCTCCACCTGTTTTAATTTCTCCTCCAACTGTTTTTTCTTGGCCAGCTCCTTCTTTAACTCTTCATCCAGAGCTTTGTGGTTTGACTGCAAAGCTTTTATTCTGGACTCCGAGCTCTGTTCTTTCTGGTCCAGGTCCTTTGTGAACTTGTCCTCCAGAGCTTCATATTTTGCCTGACAAGCTTTCTCGCTCTCGAGAAGTTCAGCTTCTTAGCTCAACAGCTGTTTTTTAGTCTCTGTGAGCATCTGAGAGACCCTGTCCTTCTCCTTGCTGCGATCTAGAATTTCAGTGTCCCACTGCTGGATCTGTTTCTCCAGCTGGTTCACCTTCCTCTGGTACTCAACCTGAAGAGTCTCAAGGCTTTGTTGTTTCAGGTTCAGGTCTTTGTTGGTGGTCTTCAGGAACTCAGCTGGTTTTTGTCAATAAGGGGGTCAATAAGGACACCGAGGTCATGTCCTTGGTATTTGAAATATAAATGAATGTGACTTTGTCAGGTTTAGCAAGTTTCATGATCCAATGAAAAAAGTTCACATGGCAGTTATTTTATAAGCATCAAGTATTTGTTGTTCAAATGTGACAAGTTTCCAAGCAAGCTTTATTGTGAGAGGAGTTTGCACGTGATGGGTAGAAAACAAACCAGTTCGAGTGCTTGTGTGAAGATCAGAGTTATTTTTGTGCCAGAAACTGAATGAATTGCTGTAGTATTAAAAATATACAGAGAAGGAAAATCAGCTAAATACTGTCAAACATAACTGTTGTTTAAAACCTCAATTCAATGG